ATAAGAACCAAGAGAGACTATGTAAAGGTGCAAATTTCCAATGATGAATGTCATTATATTGTATACCTAAAATGTACCAATAAAATTAAATTTAAAAAAGCCCTTCCTTTTAGTTGGTTCAGCAATAAGACTGAGTGGTCCCAGAGCATCCATCACAGGCTCCTATACATCACACTGTCATCTCTCTCCATGAGCCCAGGTAATTCTAATTCTAAGAGGAAGGGAGATTAAACTCCTTGATACTGGAGCCTTGTTCTTTGTTTCCCACTAATTCCAGCCTGCCTTCCTCAGTCAATATGACCATCAAAGTGAGAGAGATCACCCCTACACATGGAACTGTGCAACTATGGGTTAACTGTGTTGTTAGGCAACTATGGGTTAACTAGGTAACTATGCTCTTTGTGGAATGTACTTGAGTAGCCATGCCAACTGCTGTGATCAGTCACCAAAGGAGGAAAACCGACTCAGAAAGTCCTGCCAGAACTCCTTCCTCTCCCCCTCTGAGCTGCTGTGCGTTGTGTAAATCCTGCTTGCTATATTCCCAGGGAAATTCCCATGGAATTAAGCTTCCTAGATGTAAAAAGAGGTATATAAGGAAGCACAAAGTTCTGTTCAGGGCTCCTGAGACTGACAGGAGTCACTCGGTGAGCCGCTGGCATCATTAAAAGCTACATTTTGCTGCTATGTTTTTATTAAAGAGTTATCTCTTGAGGGTCCTCAGTGTTTCCTGCTTCAAGAGTTACAACCAGGAAATGAATAGCCAGATATTTTTCATTGCCCTTTAGCTACAGTTGGCACAATTTTCTATTCTCTCATGCCTTTCTAATTAGGCCAAAAAGCCCATCCTCTCTGCTAGGATGAGATAGATATCTGATCTCTTCTAAATATCACTGTGTATATGCACCCACGATTAGGGCTCTGCCTTCTCCTAGTAGAGACAGAGGTTATTCCAAAAGTCTGGGCTAGTCAAAAAATTAAAAAAATGAAATGTGCAATAGAGCATTACCTGTACTTATTCATTTAAAGGATACTACTACTTTTCCTCACCAAAGACAATCTTTTGAGACTTGGAGGCTAAAAATTGATTACAGCCCATAATAAACAAAAGTGGAAGGCCTCCTTAAGCCTTGTCATAGCCCTGGCACATTCAAGAACCCAGTGGAGAGTGGAGAATATTTCAAGTTCTTTGACTAGTAAATTAGGCAGTAGTGCCTTTGTGTTTATGGTTCCTAACCTGTACACTGTTTTATCCCAGAGTCCTGAAGATACTGCATGATTTTCCATTTTTAGATTAAAAAACACATTTTCTGTATACTCCTTTACCCTGACTCACAATTTCTTTGTACATTTAAAGACCCCTCTGATCAGGATACTCAGTTTATCTCAGTATCTTGTTGCCCCAAGGGTTTAGAGACAGCCCTCACTTATTTGGACAAATCCCCTTCTATCTAAAGTCCTACACATGTGGATGACATCCTCTTATGTGCCCCTTCTGAGAAACCATCAGACCAGGGCACCCAACCCTATTAACCCTTTTACCCAAGAGAGAATACAAAGTTTCTTGATCTAACACACAACTTTGTAGCTCCTCTGTAGAACACCTTGGTCTAATTCTCTCCATGGAAATTTAAAGGTCACAAAAAGAGGGTATTAAACCCATTACTTCTTTCCCCTTTTGCAAACTTTAAAACAATTCAGGGGATCTGGGGACATCACAGGCCTTTAGCATTTCTAGATTCCAGGTTTTGGTGAGATAGCAAAACCCATTTATCAGTTATCAAAAAATTCTTAAAAATATAATACTTGTATTTTAATATGGGAACCAAGCTCTCAAAGGATTTTCAAAAACTCAAACAAGCGTGTCTACTCACTCTTACATTAAATCTCCCTATAGGACAATACTTTAACTTATGTGTTTCTAAGAAAAATAAAACCACCCAAGACCGAGGGCCTGCACAATAGCTGATAGGAAATTTGAGCTGGAAACTGGACGTAATCACCAAGAGCTGGCCAGCCTGTTTTGGAACTGTGACAACAGTGTTCCTTCTGGATCTGACAGCCTCTGAACCAACCTTTACAAAGGATCTTACTGATTTTACTCCTCTCAATGTGGCTGTAATTCTCTCCTCCAAAGGGGCTTCATGGCTTTCTGGTACGGGCCTGCTTAAATACAAGGCGCTGCTTACTAAAGTCCACTAATTTCTGCTACAAGAATCTTTCACAAACAAGGGAATTCCTTTCATTTGGATAAGAAATAAATTAATGAAACATTGTCTTATGAAATTTAGACTTTATTATATGATTAGACCACCAAACCCAAACTTTCATTTTAAACAAGGCTTTATTTTGTATTTGTAAAGGGGTTGTCACACAAATTTAGTTAAATTGAACTTTTATGCTTCAAACCGTTGTACCTTATGGAAACCCAAGGCAAAGCAGCACATACAAGCTGTACTAACCTTAGTATACTGAATCTTCAAATCAGTCAGTGGGGCAGGTATGGCTGGTTTTGCTGAAGACATTTCTGGTTC